GAGCTACAAAATTCACAATGTTTCAAATGAATTTGAAAATGGCCAACAAATATTTGTGGACAGATTCTCAGTGCTTTTTGTATTGGATAAATGAAGGTGAGAAACTGTGAAACGAAATAAAGCGACCAAATTTTAGGAACTACCGTTTAAATTGCTGGTCTTGCTGGTGAAGTTTTCATAGCCTTGTTTTTTTTTTTTCCAGGTTCAAAGAGGTGATTTGCTAAAAGTTCTCCCGGGTGCCAAAATTCCTGTCGACGGGACAGTTGTGGATGGAAAAAGCGCAGCTGATGAATCGTTCGTGACCGGTGAATCAATGCCTGTTGTTAAACGACAAGGTAATTTTGTCAGGCAAATATTCTAGTTTCTTTGGACGTTTTATTTAGGTGTTCTTTTCATCTGGTTGTCTTTGACATTCGGAAAGCCTATGCTTTGACTTCTGAGTAGGCCGGAAAAGCGCTGCGTTATATTTTATGGACTTGAATGTACAAGTTTTGTTCGGCAGAATTGCGGTGTAACTTTAATTCAGAGCCTAGTGCCAGAGAATCTGGAGGCGCACTGCCTGTATTATTTTTGAAACTTCACGTAAACTTCAAGCATTCTTCGTAACGCGTATCAGTGCGTTTCGTGCTTATATAATCTCAGGAGAAGCTTGGTGTTGCTCCCTCTTGCCTTAATCCGTGCCTCCTGCGCTGTATCCGAGCATCTACCAACCAACACCGCCCCCCTTCCCCACTCATGTGCATTCCCCCCTCCCTCCTCCGTCGCCAACGCACGCGACCCAATAGCCGAACGCCATGTATCGCTACCCAGCACACCTGGCAAACTGCCAAGCGGCATTAGCGAAACTCGCCACGAAATAGCGTTAGTGAAAATGCAGAGTAACAGCCGAACCGAGCCGTATTTTAGTAATTGCCATGCTTACTGCCGATAATCAAACGCAATTTTGGATGTGTGCTGAGGAACTCATACATCTTTCATTTTTATAAAATTGGTCTCATTCAGTGCATTTTATAGGTAACACAGTGATTGGTGGATCAGTAAACCAGAACGGAGCACTACTCATACAGGCTACACATGTTGGCCAGGAAACAACTCTGGCTCAAATAGTTCGGCTCGTTGAAGAAGCACAAACATCAAAGGTACATTTCGTGACTCATTTTTTGTCTCCCGCTAAATTTCTTCCCGGATATCTTCGTTTGTTTGTAGGCACCAATTCAACAAGCAGCTGATCGAATCGCTGGCTTTTTTGTACCACTGGTTATTGGATTAGCAACACTGACACTTCTTGTCTGGGCATTTGTGGGATTCTATGTGATCGATATCGAATATAAAGTATAGCATTTACGGAGAATTTCATACTTAAAATGCCTGGATCGGCTATGTCTCACAATCTTTCTCTCTCTTCGACTATGCAGCTGACAACTTCTCCGTCGATTTCATTTTTGTACCTCTCAAATCCACACTGCTCGAGCATCGTGACGCATTGTGGATGCCACTCAACTATTCGTTTTTATGCGTTTTTGCAGCGTAGCGCTAGAGCGCTGCAACAGACAGCAAAAACACATATTGCGATGACCCCGTCTGTGTGTGTATGTTTGTGTGTGTGTGTCTGGTATTTCTATTCGTCAACCACGCAAGCTTTGAAGCTGAAATTTTGCCAGTGTGTTGCCTGATCATGTGCAGCTTCAGAAACATGACATCAGCTGTCGCGCATGTCTACGTCCCACATACGGACACGTGAGAGTTTTGGCGGGAAAATTGCTAACTCGGGAACAAGAAAAGCTAGAAAGTTGAAACTTTGGGAAAATATTCCCTGCTCATGCACAACTAAAAGATTTCAAATCCAGCATCTTAGAACCGCTCTGGACCTAGGCACGGGGACGTGAAAATTTTGGCGGGACGACTGCCAACAAGGGAAAGAGAAAAGTTGGGAGGCTCGAACTCTAAAAGGGATTTTCCCTACTCATGTGCGGCTAAAAGATTTCAAATTCAATTTTTTAGCATGGTCTTTTTCGCGCACCAGCTGCTTTCCATTTGTCGGGCCACTGAATTGTCGGGTCACCATCATCTACAACTAACATGCCATATAGCTGCACAATTAACTTCTTGAACTTCGAGGGCCAGTATGTCACAAATTCTAGCTACTGTGATTCCTGGCGATTTTGCTGCAGTACGAAATAGTGCAAAACCGCATGATAATACCGGCCCGCCTGGTGCACTCCAGCCTGGATTTTCATTTGTTTTCTGCCATTCTTGCTACATGACCAGCCCAGCGTCTTTTTACAAGTTTTTTTGTTAAGTTATACCACAACGTGACCGCTGCATTCCATTTGTTGTAGTTTTGTAGTTTGGCGACACTGCACATTCGTCTCTCTATCAGTCAAGCATATTATTAGAATATTTTGTAAGATTTTTTTCTTTTTTTTGAGAAATTCGTCTCTAGTTGTCTTTTTAGGATAGAACAACACGACTGGAAGCAACACTGAAGCGTGCTTTCGAAGCAGCAATCACAGTACTGGCCATTGCTTGCCCATGTTCACTGGGACTGGCAACACCAACTGCAGTAATGGTTGGTACAGGCATTGGCGCCGTTAATGGTATACTGATTAAAGGCGGTGAACCACTAGAAATGGCTCATAAGGTACGTTACCATCAAATTACGGGGTTTTTTTTCCTGTCTGATGCTATAAAACCACAGCAAATCCCAAACTTGCATAGGACTATCCGTAATAAAGCCTGAAATCGTTTGTGAGTACCAATGACGGTAGCCGAAGTTGTGTCGAGTTTCTGTGACAGAGACAGGATTTTTCAACAATCAGCAATAAAAAACTTTTTCTATAAAATAACTTTCTATTTTTATAAAAAAGTTACTTTTTTTTACAAGCAGGCAGGAATAACTTTAAAAATAACTTTTTATAAAAATAGCTTTTTCTTTAAAAATAACTTTTTTTATAAAAAATATCTTTTTTAAAAACTAATTTTAAAAAAATACTTTCTCTTTTTTAAAAGCTTTTTTTCCTCCTTTCTTTTCTTTTCCCTCTCCATCCCACTCACACTTCTAATCCCACATTCATATCGTTTCCCCTCTCTTTCTTCCTGTTGCCTTTCTCTTTTCTTTTCCCATTAAGCACTGCGACCGTCATACTGACGAGATTAAGACGTATATGACTTAATGGACCAAAACGTCTTATCTCACTCTCTTACCTTCTTCCCTCATACTGTTCTTTCATGTTGTATTCTGTGGCGTTTTCACCATTTTGGCTTCCGGAGTCAACTTGATGGGTGGTTACCGTTGAAATTTTCTACTGCTCGGACTGCTTTCGAGTGCCTCTGCCTCTCACGGATACCGAAAAAGGAAGGGAAATTTTGACTGTTGTTTTGCAGGGCTCACAAGAAATCGAGTGGAACGCTTTGTTCCCACGAAATCGATAATTTTTAAGCGCAAAATTACTCAGAATTTCATTTTCCGGATTTCAGTATGATATTTCTTCAGGTGACCACAGTTGTTATGGATAAGACGGGTACTGTGACAGAAGGTCGTCCGCGCGTTTTTCGTATATATACCGTTATTGGCGAAAATTGCATGTCACTTTTCAAAATGTTCGCAGCAATTGGCTCGGCAGAATCGAACAGCGAACATCCACTTGCGAGTTCCATTGCTTCATTTGTGAAAGAGGTAGGGGTGAAAAAGCACTTTTTTTTTATTAAATTAGACAGATTTTATGCATTAACACTAACTTACAGGTGTAAACCTACCTATTTTCCTCTTCTCACTAATCCCTAACGCTTCGGCCTACTTCGCTCCAATCACAAATTTTTAA